TTGTTTACATGTAGGCATATGTTATTCAAACCAGATTTGGGTTTAAATGTGTCCTTGTTTAGCAATTAGAAATTTATAATATATTCTTTTTTCTTGTTCTTCATGTTAATGATTATTTAATGATTATCATCAATTTGATTCTATTAGAATGAGTCTTTACAAATCCTAATGACCTTAGCCAAATCCAAAAAATGGCATCATATTAGTGGGTAGTAAAGTTGTTGATAAATCTTGAGGCATTGTCTCATAGTACCAATACAAGCTATAGATGGATTTTTTCTGTGTCGTAACAGAGATTTTGTGTTATATGAGATTTAGATAAATGAGAACCAACATAACAAATTTTTACTACCACATTTCTTTCAAAGTTAGGTTAAGACTTAATACATTCTCAATTCTTACATCATATATTTGAGCCCCTAAATTTATTCATCTTCATTTCAAGGGATTAGTACTTTGTTCAAAATCATGTTACACCTACAGATTCATTTATGTATCATATATTTTGATATTTTTTTTTAAATTTCGAAGCAAGAAGTTTATTTGAAACCACAATTTGTTCAAAATTACTTCATCTAATATATTTTTTTCTTCTTATTTTTAAAATTTGCATGATTCTCACTTATATTTAACAACATAGTAGGTCGCAAATTTTGAAACTTCTACAAAATCATAAGATTGGACATTTTCAAAATTTTATAATTTGTTTGGTTTTCATTATTTCTTTTCAATAAATATTTTTTAGGGTTGTGAAAGTTAAGATGACATTTTGTTGTTTTTTTCAATTCAATTTTTGTGTTAAATATTTTGTGATTTTCCTTAAATTTGATTATATTCTAAATTGACTATAGGATTTTCTTTTACTTGTGCATATATTCTAAGATCTTTCGTTTGTGAGGACGTTCAAAGATTATATTTTGAAAACCAAAAACATTTTTTTGAGGGTCAACTTGTTTGCTCAAATGAAAGAACATATTATTTCATTATACAAAATATGAAGAATTTCTTTGGTCTGTTAAGCTGCATTTTCAATTTTGTTAAATTATATATATTGTAGGATGATTTTATCATTTTAAGATATTAAATTTGATATATATGTTATTGATTCTTGCCTTATATTTACTGTACACTGTGCGAGCTCTGCTTCAAACAATTTATTTACATATTGATAGTGGTAATACATACTTATTTTATAGCAAAATTAAGATTACTTTATTGATTGCATAAAATCAAAAAAAAAAAACTTCTAGAAAAAATTATAATTTAAATACAAGTCACGAATACTAAGATTAATTATTTCAAAGGTGATCTACATTTTCATAGTATGCTACGAGTCTTAATTACAAAAAAAAAAAAAATAGAAAAACTTAATATCAAAATAAGGAAACGAAAGTAATAATCAAATCAAGATCATGTTCTTCGATCGTGATCGAGCAATCGAGTCAAGCTCAAACTTCATTATTTTACTCGAGCCAAATTTGGGCTCAAAGATCAAGCTCGAGATGAACTCAAGTTCGAGTTCCAGATAAGTGTGTATTAGACAAGCTTAGATTAATTAAGGAAAAACTTGACTCAACTTGACTTGTTTACATCCCTAATCATAGTTAGTGAACTAGCTTTTGGTTGTAACCAACAGCAAATCAATCATGGCCAAGTGGAGAATAAGCTCACAATATTGGCCATAACTGCATGAACTAGCAGGAGATTGTCCATAGGGTTGAATAGATGAGCTTCTTGCACAATTCTTTTTAACTGTCATGGTGTAGCTATAGAATTACAAAAGAAAAATTAATAGCAAAGCAATAATGATGATAAATAACCTTAGTTGAGGTTATTAGAAAATTTGAAGCTATTCAAATGAATTTAAGAACCTAAATCTCTTATGTTTCTATAAGGAATAAACTTTAAAATGTAGATCATAAATTTCACTAACATCAAATAAGTTTACTTTTCTACCCCCTCAATGAAGAAACCCAATTTCTGTAAGTTTTTTGAATTACTGAATATGTCACAGAGATTTGGAGTTGCAAGGAAGACTAGAACATTAAGTGGGATATTTAGATTGTGGTGCTTTTATAGAAACCAATGAAGTCAAAATAAGGGTTCCTCGAGGCATTGAAAAAACTTGGGATTCTTAAGCCTTATGGATGTGTTTTTAGATTTTATGTGGCGGAAATGTCCCGCCCTAAAAATTGAACTAAATGAGAAGTTTTAATATTACTCAAGCAAATGATAATCTAATAAGAGGATGAGTAGCAATTAGGGTTTGGTGTTTCCCAAAGTGTAGAAATTTGGCCAGACTATAGAGATGGAGAGGTTGATGAGATCACCTTTGCAAACACCAAGGGAAATAGGTTTCGATTAGAAAGGTAAGATGAGTAGCATTAGTTGAAGACTTTTTTTTGCTTCCTTTTATCACAAGATCATCCAAAATATTGCTTAATTCTTCCTTGAACCCTTCTTGGAGTTTTCCCAATAATGATTCTCTTTGATGATATCAGTCCTAGCAACATAAGTGGAAGGCAGTTGGAGAATTGAAGATTTTATTACAAATTTATGTATTAAAATATGCACAAAAGATCTCCTATTTATAGCTTATAGGAGCCATCAAAGAAAAGAAATGAATAATAACTTTTCTACTACGAAAGATAGATAAGGAAATAGATATCACTCTTGCTTTTAAGCACACGAATATGTCTTTTTTACTTCATATGCCCAAGCTCCTCATTCCTAAAGGGGTTTCTTACACTTGGCCATGCATCCTCCTTGCCATGGTTTCACGGCAAGACTTTCCTTGATATTTTCCTCCCTTTGGCATTTTCACTTGTTCCAGAAATTCTTCAAAAATATCAACCAAGTAGTTGAAATATTTTAGACCTTTCGATATTATAATTTTCCTTCATGATCTTAGTTCCAGGGACATAACTGGGAGGTTGTTGGAGAATTTAAGTTTCTATTACAAATTTATGCTTGAAAATATCTACAATAGATCTCCTATTTATAGCTTATAGGAGCCATCAAAGAAAAAAAAATTAATATGATAACTATTCTATTATGAAAGATAAATAATAAAATTAGTATCACTCTTAATTTCAAACACATGCAAATGGCTTTCCTACTTTATATGGCCAAGCTCCTCAATCATAAAAGAGTTTCTTGTGCTTTGGCAAACATCCTCCTTGCCACGGATTCATGGCATGACTTCTCCCACTTAGTTTTCCCTCGTCTATATTTCCACATGTGTTCATATAACTCATCCATTGTTTCATCCTTGAAGCTGAAATTCTTCTTAGAGTTCTTTCTATGATAATTCTTTTTGATGTTAAATTTTGGGGACATAAATGAGAGCTAGTCAGAGAATTCAAGCTTCTATTGCAAACTTATGTTGAAAATATGTACAAAAGATCTTTAATTTATAGCTTACAGAAGCCATCAATAAAAAGAATGAATTTTGCTATAATGAAAGATAACTAAGAACTAGTATTACTCATCATTTTAAGCACATGCATATAGCTTTCCTGCTTCATATGGCAATGCTCCTCATTCCAAAAGAGGCTTCTTGCACTTAGTCTACCGTCCTCCTTGCCATGGATTCATGTCACGACTTTCTTTACTTGATTTTTCCCTTCCTTTTGTATTTCCACGTGTTTTTAACTAAAATTTTTCCTCTTTGTATGGCTAGCCGAGGAGGTTTTCATACACGGTTTCCCCCATTAGATTTTTAAATGTGACAATTAAGCTCCTGCCATGATGATAGATCTCTAAGGAGCTTTACTATGTGGTCAGCTGCACCTTGCTTAGCTTTTGGTTAGTTTGATGTCAGCTTGTGAGACTTATGAGATCTTCTCAATGAATGGCATTTGATTGATTGTGTTTGCACCCATAAACACCAATAGTCATATAGTCAATGTGTCACCATTTTTGACTTGGCTCTATAGTAGTGCCTTTTCTTTTGGGCTCTCTTGTGTTGACAAGACAAGGCAATGCATCCATCATCATTTGGGAAAGTGGAGAAGCCTTCTCCACTTGTGTTTGCTCTTGCTCTATTGTTCTTTCGGATGGAAAGCTTTTACCCTCATAATTGGCATTGGGTTTGACTGACATTCCAGTCTAACTGAGGAGGGGAACTCTCCTGGAGAACCGTAAGAGCCAAAATCAGAGTTTCTTTAGAATTACACATTTCCCTTTTCATTTAAACATCTACCGCAAAAATTATCGATATCTCTATTTTGATGGTGGTAGTTGTTCCCTAGATCCCGTTTGGTTGAGTTTAGATAGCATCTTAGGGAAACTGGAGAATTCACTAGATTCCATATTTTATTGGATTTATTTAGGAAACAATAGTGATTTTTAACTCTACAAACACAGTAAAAATACCTCAACCATGATGATTTCATAGTCAAAAAGAACGTCTGAGAATGAAACTATCATTTCAAAAAATATAATTTATGTTTACAAGCAACCGAAAGAGTAATGTATCGATTAAAATCAAACTTCACATGGTTCACCCTAAACACTCAAAAACACAAATAGGCCCTTCCATAGCTTAGTTTTTCTTCAATTTTGTCTTTTCTTGAGAGAGAGAGAGAGAGGCCCAAAAGAGAACTGAAGTTTCAGGGTTAACATTCCAATTGAAATAGCGCCCATCTGATTAGTTGAAGTTAGAAAACATATTTAAGAAATTACATCTCATCATTTGGTTGGATCTGGATAGAATTTAATATGGTTCTTAAAAGGCCCTTTAAAATCCGATTATATTTCACACACAAAGTGAGTCAAAACAAGTCATCATTTGCTAAAACCAGATTTCTATATCCAATCATTCAAATGAAACCTAAAATAAAAACTTCTTATCCGAAACACATTTGCAAGAACAAAGATGACCGATTACAACAACTATGAACAAGATTAGAAGAAAAAAAAAAACAGGATTCCAAGCATGATCAATCAAAAGCTCAAGCATTCAAAAGTTCATTTTGAACTCCTACTAAGCAGCATACCTGCGGACTCAAATCCCCGAAAGGGCTTCTCGCGTTTATGAGTCGCATTCCGCCCGCTCCCCCAAAAACCCAACGCCAGTGACCAGTGAGCTATTTTCAGTCTTCAGATGAGCTCGTGTGATTCATATTTCTAGTTGCAGTGTTCCGCTGGAACCGGTTTAGAGTGCAGTGTTCCGCTGGAACCGGTTTAGAGTGGTGACTTGTTCTTGGAACACATGTTATTTTATTTTAGCTCATTATAAAAATCAAACAAAATATTAAGTCTCAACACATAATAAATTTCTTTAAAATTAATTGAATGTCTCAAAAGCCAAATAATGATTAATTGTCATGTTGATAGTGATTTAAATAGGCTTAAAATTAGACAAAATGTGATGTATAATTATTAATTATATGGACACATTAAAATTATTTCAATGTTTTAGGCCAAACATATCACTTGACAATTATTCATTATTAAATATTTGTAGGGGTTCAATATTATCTATCTTAATAAAGTAATATTAGTAAGAAAATTGATGCATCAATAACATCAATATAGAGTCCAAAAAAAATGCATGATGTGTGAGAAAAAGATAAGCCACAAAGACTCAATCCAAGAAAAATGTAGTTGAACAAAAAGATTTAATAACCTAGAGCAAGATGACAATCATTCCTTCGGAAAATTTTATTTTATTTTATGTTGTATGAAGAAAATGTGAAAAATTTATGTATATGTATGTAAGTTTGCAAACATTTTTGGTAGTTTAAAATTTTAAATTTTAAAAAATCAATCCTTGAGACTTTGAAACTTAAATTTCAATTATCATGAATGAATGATATAATTCTAATTGGAATATATGAATTTTCCTAAAGTTAGCAAATACATATCATTTTAAGCAGGGAGTGTCTGACGGAGGGGGTTTTGGTAGAAGTTATGGATGGTCACATGAGACTAACCACTTTCTCCTCCTCATCTGCACATGTGGCTCCTCCCCCTCTCTCTTCCGCTCTTTAGGCATATTGATTTTCTCTTATAAACCAAAATTATTAATAAAGAATGAGATGAAATGATATTTTATTGTTGAAAATTTGTTTGGGGACATTCAAAAGTAGCTAAAGATCTTGGTGGTAGTATTTTATAAAGAAAGCTAGTCTAGTGACTCTTCCTAACATTGCATTTTTTTAATAATTTGTAAGAATTTATCAAATTTATGTTTTATTTTATTCTCAGTATTGTTATATCTCTTACAACTGTGTTACAAAAAAAAATTTATTATATTAAATCTCTGCTTAAGGTCTTAAAAAATCTCATTATTTTGTCAGATAATTATAATATTTTACAAAAATTAGTAGTATCCTTTGGCTTATTTAATGTACTAAAGCACGTTGAAAAATTATGATAATTTTCAAATCTTAACTAAAAATCTTAAATATTTATTTCTATATGTTATTCTAATCCCTTGACCTTACGTCCACTTTTTAAAACCAAAATCTCACTATTTGTGCTATTAAACAAAGAGAATTTCTACTAATCTAACTTTTGCTAAAGCCTAATAAATATAAAAAATATTTAAGAAAATGAATCTATTCAAAAAAACCCTTAACTCTTACAATTAGTTAACATTTTTAGGGTTTTAAATAAAATTGAAGAATAAATTCTCCACACTAAAATCCTAAGTTCAAAATTAGATTTTTTTTTTTAATTTGGGTTATCTAATGTTAGCCAATCCTAATTGTGCTCATAACCTTATATACACTTGCTAACCTACTCCATCAACATCTACAAACTCTTACTATCTCGCTTAGGAAGAACTTCAACCCTAATTTACCTCTTCCAATGTCCCAATTGATGTCCGCATCATTTTTGGTATCATAGCTCATATTTGAAAGAGACTACACCTAGTTCAAGTTTACAAAATTTTGAGTTAAAAGAAAATGTTTATAGAAGATAAATTTAGATCATCAAAAAATTAAGATCTATAATTTATTTTCTGAAAATTTTATTTTATGATGTTATATTTTTTTGTTACAATAGTATTTTTAAAATGCATATTGTAGGAAATTCTATGGATATGTTGGCCACATATTAAACATGGAAATTACCTAGTGAACAAAGCCATAAACCTATCTTGCTTGAGTGTTTATATATGGTGAAAGAATGCTCACTATCTAGATTTGTCCAATTATGCAAATATTATTTGAAAAATGAATTTATATAACTTAGGTTGTATTGTTTGTTAACATATTAGTCATTTAAATTTTTTGTACTTGTTATTTTATACTTAACTGAAGACTGTAAAAAGTTATGCACAATATAATTTATCACTCAACTTACAGAGCACATTTTTTATTTAAAAGTTAGAAAAAATTCTTTATTTTGATTGCATTATCTTTGCATTTTCATTTTATATGTTATGAAACCCAATTCAATTAGTTTAGATCAAATAAGAAATTTAGGTAGAACACTTAAAGAGGTAAACTTCATAATTAAGAGAGTTTTATTAGTTGTAAGAAATGATAAAAAATTTAATTAGTCAAGCTCAAGTTAAAACCACTAGACTAAAAAACTGACCCTTTGCCCCACAATCTCTTGATCATAAGAACAAAAGTGAAAAAATTGTAAAAGAATATATATGAATGCCTATCTGACAACGACTTTTTATATACCTAAAAATACAAGAATTTGACACCACTACTAGAAGATTTAAATCCCCAACAACGACGCAAAAAACTTGATGTAACTTTTAATATGCAAGAATTTATGAACCCAGATTTATATATTTATAATGATTTTGTAAAGTCACAATTTCAAACGCAAGTATACATATCACTCAAGTAATACAGTGCTCTAGTGGAGTCCCGTTTATCGATCCCACAAGGAAGCGAGGTAAGAGGTTCTTAGTCAAATTCTAGTTTATTATAATTAGTCCTTAGTTTGGAATGTTGATTAAAATGATGTTTTATTTAGCAACTACTCAAAAATGCAAGTGTTAAATATAAAGATAGTAACTATAACTAAATGTAAATATTAATTCTAAAGATAACCCTTTTTGGATGAATTGGTTTGGAGAATTTTGAGATATTAAAAACTACTATTCTTATGTAATGAATTAGATAATGTAAATGAATGAGATGCATTAAATATTGTATGTGCCAAATAGGAGCAATCTTAGAATCGTTTGCTAATCTGAGGTTTCGTCTCTAAATTCGTGGTTAGGCTGGGAGGATACTGAATCTCACTCCAGAGCTCCCATTTCTCTTCCCCTGAAGCCTAACTCTCACTTTAGTTCTTAAAACACTAAGACCAAATTGGGGATTTTAGTCTGTCACCTTAGAATATCCAATTCTTCATCAAGTAATATATATAACTCCCTATTTATTTGCACTCAACCCCCATGAACTTCACCTTCCATGGAATTTGAATGTGGTTCCACTTTGTTGGAGTATTCACAGCTCTCTCGGGTCTTAATGCAATTATAACGAATTTTAACACTACAACAGACCTTTATTGTAATGTAAATAAAGTGCAAGTAAAAATCATCACATTAATAATTGAATATACTTCTAACATGCATCACAAAAACCTAAACACGAATTCTACTCATTATAAAAGAAAAGTAAAATGAAAACAAATACGTTGAATTTTGGCTAAACTTTCTCCACACTTTTTCCTAACATTCCTCTCACAAAAAATCCAAAAACCCCCACTTTTCTAACATAAATCCGTTCTTTTAAAGTGTAGGGACGATGTTTGAAGAGTTGCCACAAGAATCCTTTCAAAAAGCATCCAAATATGTTGAATTTTGGCCCATAACCGCCAAATGTCGGTCCATAGTCGTCTCGGGCGGCGTCGGCGGGCTCGAGGGCACTGTCGATGAGCTTTCCTGTCATTTTTTGGTCTTCTCAGGTAAATCTTGCCGTAGGCGCCGTTTTAGGCGCCGTCAGTGAGCAGACTGCGTAACTCTAACGTTTCGCTCCGTTGTGCTCCGTTTTAGCTCCGTTTTGCCCCATTTCAGT